GGCGATTCGCCAACTTTGCGTGAATTAGGTCCTCACGAAAATAAAGTCGTTTACAGTATTTTAAAGTGAAGAAACTGCCTTGATTCGCTTCGTCCTGAGTGGTGCTACGCAGAGAAGCAATAACACGTATTTTATGAGCCGTTTGTGTGGATATTGTTTTAGGGACTGTGCCGAATTGTTATTGGTTGTACCAATGCCTTTTAGTAAGAGATATCGTCCACGAACTTCAATACACTGTTTCCCCTTTGACAGACTCCCGAGGAGAAGATTGAATACTTGGAACCTTAATAAGCGCAGAGGTGGTCACCGAAAAAATGATTACCTTCAATATGTAGGCTGCCTCTAGAGCAGTCAACGGGACTGTGAATGAATTGTTCAGTGCGTCATGGTGTTTGTGTTTGTGTTCGTTTCTAATGTAGCTTTGTGAGATGTATTTAGTAGTGCCTTCAAATACCACAGGGACACCATTTGCTGACAAAATCGAAAATAAAAAAAAATTGTGTAACCGGTTTTTAATGCACAAATGGCATCTTGAGTGTGAAGGAATAATATTTTTGGTATATCTAAAATATTTTTTGATTCATATTTATAATGTATTTTGAATACCTTACGCGCGTATTTCGAATGCGGCCAAAATAATACAGAATAAATACAAAATGAATATTCGTACTAAATATATTTGAACTTCGTTTGAAGTACGGCCTCTTTTTTCTAAGGGAAGCAGATCGCGAAAATCGGTCTCAAACGTGCCACGAATGTAATGTCGTATACAAGAAGCCAACAATCAAGCATTTGAAAGCTACAAGAAAGCGGTAGCGAAATATTTACTACGCAATGAACCCGGACTGAAACGCGGATGTCAAGGGTCAGCAGACACCGGTTTTCTCTTGTTTTCTTGATCGAGATGGGTTCTCGAATGTTCACGACATCTTATCTCTTGAAGAACGGGTCGCGGAGGCTTCTGGTGAAGACGTCGTTCACGATGTGCCGGTGAATTCGGACAGCCTGCCGCATCCAGCTCCGCAAAGCAACGCCGCCAACGCAGCCCCCCCCCTCCTGCCTGCCAGTTCTCTCCGCGTGGTGGCGCGAGCGTAGATAAACATGGCGGCGCCCTGGAATGGGCGCGGACACTGGTCTATACGCTGTGTGAGGGCTATGCTCCGGGTGCGGACTACCTAAGCGAAAACTTTCATTTTTGACCTCAAATTTGTTCTTGAGGACTATGGACCGCATGGGGACTATAGTTCAGAAGATACGACAGTTTGAACAGCTGCACGTGTAGCAGCCTCGGGGTTTTCCCCTTCCAGTTCGGTAGGGCAGCTGGCCTTTTCTGTGGTCGGTCACTACTTAGCTAAAACCTATTACTACTAGGAAAAAAGTTACATAATATATATATATATATATATATATATATATATATATATATATATATATATATAATTTTTTATGGTAGCATTAAGGGAGGCATTCAAACACGCGTCCGAAAACAACGTGAAACATGACTAGCATGCATTGCCGAGAACACCACGTGGCACGCTTGGCACGTTTCGGTGAGTCTAATGACCACGACAGGAGTGCGCAGGAAGTCTAGTGCGCAGGCGCTCTCCGGGACGCGAGGCGTCCAGAGCGCTAGGGTAGGATTTATACTTCGTTTCAGCTTCGGTCCAGACGCAGCCAAAGCTACAAGCGCGAGCTCCGGGCTTTCAGCATCCCTGCCAAGCACGCGCGCTCGTGCAGTGCAAGCACTGTTCTGGGCCACATGCTCGCGCTCGTAGCATCGGCTGCGTCTGGACCGAAGCTGAAACGAAGTATAGTGCTGTGCAGTCCAGCGGCAAATGCCCTTCAAAGGGATTAATATTGCTCCGCCAGTCTATCGCTTCCCCTCATTTCCTTTAGTTCACTGACATTGCGGCTTGACGAACTACCTTTTTTATTATTACTATGAACCTGCGGCTCCCCTCCCCCTCAAATCTCAACGCTGGTGGTTCCACACAATCATGTCTATAGTTCGGGTCAGCAACGCTATCAGTGCGTCTTGCAGCGTCCCACAACGAATGCGACGCCAAAACGGACACCGCTGCTGCTTTGCTGGGACTCGGGTCTGGTCTGGGATACACTAACTATGATGTCATGTGCAGGCCTTGTCTCATATAGGAGCACGGTTCATGACGCCAACGCCAAGGGACGCCGGGTTCATGCACTGATTTTCCAACTCTCGACCTACGCTGTCGTATGTCGCGAAGTCATACCGGTGTCCGATTTTGTCAGTGTTCCGTGTGTTTCGACGAAAGAATGCAACGGTTGTGACCGTCGTAGTGGATAGGCCAAGCAACCGCCGAGACTATACGATCCACACCCTTCGTTAGCATCGATAGCTTCTCCTTGTGGGCTTGCGTGCTCGCTCCTGACCCTAGTTACGCAGCCATATCGTAGCGGTAAGAGCGATTCTTTGCGGTGGTTTCTGTGAGGAAACGTAAAAGCGGTGCAAAAACCACCTTTTTTTTTTTTCACTTTCAAAAGCCCACGACGCGAATCCCTGGTGTCAGGCGGCCAGGTCCTATACGTGACGGCGGGGCGTTCTGCTTTTACCCAAAAGACAGTAAGTGCGCACGCGAGCTTGTGTAACGTAATCATGCCGTTCCCGGGGCTCAAGTAAACAATAACTGTGTAAAGCTTTCCGTCGTCGCGAGAGGACAAAAAGCATTATACAAAAAAAAAAAAAAAAATATATCAGACATTGGCAAAATATTCGAAGTAACAACTTTTATTAATATGCATTGAACCAAAGCCTGCGTCGGCTCTGAAGCACGCGCAGATTCACAGCTAGTTCTAAGGAAGTGGGTTGTGTCAATACTGTTAACCCGCAGTTCATGGCGCAATATAGCACAAAACATCAGCTTTATCTAAGTAGATAAAGTCGGCCCTTGCTCCATGATAGCGGAGTGCATCACTGATGATGCAGGTTTATGCAGTTAACCTTATTTTGTCCTTTTCACTGTAAAGACCCCTTGAGGACCTTCAACAGATTAGGTCACGAGATAGAACAATACTGGTTGGACCGCGAAGAGGAATTTGAGACGATGCAGTGAGGACGGGGGGCCTTTATGTGCGCTTTGAGCGCACATGAAGGCACCCTAGGGGCTTATGGCACGCGGAGAATACGGGACGGGGCAATTGAACGCGGGGTTCTCGGAACGTGGGGCTGATGACGCAAGGCTTTTTCGACAAAGATTCTGCACGCGGGGAAATCGGGCTACACCCTATTCGCGACTCCAGCGAAATCGACGCCGCGTAGCGGCAGCGCCGAGAAGCTCAGGAAAGGAGGTCGTTTCGACTCAGTCGTCTGCTATCGCTGCTTGGTTCTCGTAGGGAGCATAGAAACAAACATCGTTTTCAGTAATTGTTTTTATGCTTCCGCCGTTTCATTCCTATGCACTAACTAGAAGAAGGTTTCTACCGTCGAAAAATAACTTTGCTTTCAAATGTAACACTGATTTTACGCTGCAGTGCAGGGATTTGTGGTGGTCCGCGTGCCGAACGGTAAAAACGACCTCCTTTCGTCCGCCATTTCGCCTGAGCAGCGCGCCCCCTATAGTTCGCTGGAGTCGCGAATATCTGCGTCTCCCCTTGTTCTAATAAATTAAGGATGACTCGAAATGGCGCCTTCAAAGGAGTTACCAAGTCTCGCCGTTGCGATTGTTTGACTGGTAAATCAGCTAAGCGTTCGTGCCTCACCCCACCACTCTCACATACGAAGGCGTCATCTGTCGAAGTTAGTCGCTTTCTGCTTTCATACTCGACAACATGTGGTAGAAAATAGACCGGTCACCTGCTCCATAACAATGCATCGCCTCGAAACAATTTCGACCCACTCGATGAGCAGCAAGCGTCGCTCTTTCCAATCGCGCCTAAAACCGACGTTGCCGATGTTGCGGACAAGTTGAGACTATTCTGTGAAGAGCGCAACGGGTGCATTACGCCTGCGGGCTGTTGAACCGATAACTCCATAATCTCGCAGTACCTTCGTTATGCTCGTTTTATGTCTCCTACGTTAATCTAGAACGCCTAAATTAGAGTAGGGGTTTCATATGTAAGAGGTGTACCAACAGGGGTTCGAATTGTGTAAGCGTGGCGTCATCCAAAGCCTTCGGAGGGCAGGTGAAAGTCGCAATGTAGCGGCTTGCTCTACAGTCGTTAGAAGTGACACTGCGCTATTCGATTGAAACTGTCATTCTCACATCCCTAAAATGAAGCCCTCGCGCTTCAAATATGTTTACCCTTTTTAGCGTTGAAGCCGTGTCATCTCAGTTCCGGGTCCCATTCTGAGGCACCAACTTACCTAAAGTAATCAGCTACTGTCGCGCAGCCGTGAATGTGAGGGAGAACATTCAAAGGGCAGAGGAACTGAAAGTGGGAAAAAAAGTAATCCCCTGCGGTGACAAACAAAAACAAAAAAAAGAGCGAGAGAGAGAGAAAACTGAGCGAAAGGAAAGAGCGTGAAAGATAACCAAAGAATGACGAGAGGGTTAGTCGGAGGATTATCGACCGAGCCCCGCATTCTTTTCCCGAGGACGAAAGGAACCACTTAAACGGGCAAATACACACACACACGCACACACACACACAAGAAGAAAAAAAAAAGAGAAACGTGCTATGGGGCAGGTTGCACGGACTGGACATCCCAGGAAAACACCGCCGCCAAATCTGGCGACGTAAAATAGTCGGCTACAGCTGTGTGACCGACAGTCAGAACGGAGCGGCGTTTCTGCTGCAGCCACGGACGGACTTCCTCGGCCGGACCCAAGATTTCGGCGGGGGACAGGTGAGCGGGCCACGCGACGGCCCGTCAGACCCGGCTTCGGAAGAAGCGGAGCGAAAGTCTGCCCCCTCGCCCGAGCTTGTCCCCGGCGACCAATGAGGGGAAGACCCTCGCCCCAGCGCCGTCGCGACCTGGCCTTGCGGACCGCACGCGCCGCACGAGACGCACTCGAGCAGCCGCCATGAAGAGCAGGCTGCCGGTCCTGCTCGCCGTCGTCTCGCTGCACACGTGGACGGCGCTCGCGCTCAGGGCCCTCGACCACAGGTTGTTCGGTGAGTGTCCGGCCCATGCATCCCGGATAACGATCCGCGGCTCCGAACGAACCATCTGGGGAAATCGCCGGTTCCGGAGGTTCTGGTAGGAAAGTACGCGAGCATGTGCTCGAGCGAGTGACCCACGAGCCATCCCAGCCAAGCCAGGGCTGTGAACGTGTCATCACGTGGATACACGCCCGCATGACGCTGCGCCTCTCCCGAAGGTCACCTGACAGTAACACGGCATTTGATTGGCTCCGATGGCTCGTAGTGGACGCTGCTGCGGTCGATCGTAAGGTGAAGCAGGATACCGATCGGCTCTATTGTGCCGCAGTGACCTACTTTGGGCTTCCCCAAAGTGTTTCTTGTGTGCCTCTGGTGGCTTATCTTTTCGCCCCCAAGTTTGTTCTAAGACAGTAGAGTAGATTGTTGGGCTAGTTGGTTTTGGAACTTGGAATACATTTTAGCGCTCAAAAGCAAGGACAAAAAGACGAGATTCAGACACCACAGTGCCACGTTCTAAGACGCTCCTTCCCTCTCCCACCTAATGCGCGCGTTGTTTCGTCATCAGGATACTGCAACCCCGTTTCCCGCCAGGTAAGGCCGGGAGTTTTCGTAGATCGTTTTCGCCGTCCCGAAGCGCTCTCCACAACCCGCTACGATACCCGGAACTCTACAGTCAAGGCTATCGGCGCGCAGGCGCAGTAGCGGCTTCTTCGTTGCGGAGGGCTTAGCGGAGGGGGAAACGCGGTTTACGAAAACTCCCTAATTTATACACCAACTCGTGTTTACAAACAAACCGGAGCGCCCCTAGCGGACGCCACCGGCGCCGCGCATGCGCGGTGGATGGTGGGCAAGAAGCCCGCCGTCCCATAAACAAACCATTGAATTGCGTTGTTGTCGACGTCGGTGGGAGCCCCCGTGCTCTTTTTCGCGTTGGAATTGTTGATGCTACGTCCTCCTAACAATGTCTGACTACTTGAGCGGCTTCAGCAAAACTAACGAGGCAAAACTTTGCGTGATTAATGTGACGTGTGGCGATTCATTTCGCGTGGACGCCGCAGAATGGGCGCTAAAGCCTGACTCCCACGATGAGATTCTGCTCGCTGTTTTCAGACGTGACGTTGCTCGGACTGCAAAAGCGTGGACCGTAGCTGATATGGTGGACGTCGATACTGAAAACCGCAAGTAGAATCGGACATTACAAGTCGGTGATGGCCACCGGTAACAATAATGATAAACATCTTCTTGTATCTGTTTACACTTAGCCTACTTACCCCAACCAACCTTCAAAGGTGTTTTGAGGCCTACACTTAGTTCTTATCGCAATTGCCGGGTCAACGTTTGGTTTACGGGCCGCTGTCGTTTGAACGAGCTGACGACAAACAGCAGCCAAGTTTGAAAGGGCAGACGACAGTTCGAACGCATGCGTAATTGGGGTACGGGCAAGAAGCACCGCGTCCCGCGTCAACAAACCACTCGAATGTCACGTTGTCAGCGTCTGTGTAAGTCTGCATACTCTTTTTCGCAATTACCGGGTCAAACTTTGGTCTACGGGCCGCTTTCGTTTGAACTAGCAGACGACAAAAAGCAGACGTTTGGAAGAGCAGACGAAAGTTCGAACGATCAAGCGGCCGTGTGAATTTGAAGACGCACTGAACCCGTGGGTGGTTCGGACAACTTGGCGGTTTTCTCTCGTTTATGTTGGAACAAAGCAAATACACCTGGCGACCGCAAAGTGTTGCCCGCGCACGCAATCGTAGTTCGACAGCGTCCGGTTTGCCCTTTTCGCGGCTACTATCCACGTTCTCAGACGAACGGAGGGAACACATGAAAACGGATCTTCAAACCTTTCCAGACACTCTTGGTACAACCCTTGTCGCAGCATTTTGACGAGGAGGCAGGTTTTTTGTCTCGTTTCTTCCAAGGGAACACAGGAATGCATGTCTGGCACGGTGACTTCTGCCCACCGCCCCAGGCCGGAAGTGCGTCCGGCGCGCAACCACCGCGGCGTGACGTAGAAGAGTTGAGTTTGCGTATAAGATGGATTTTTTAGCGTCACCGAAAGAGGACCAGCCCGGGGCACGGACTGGACGTCAGCACTCAGCTCAGACTCATGTTCTCATTGATTAAACACAAGTACAAGCCGAAGGCTGACGTAGCAGTACTGCCCAATCCGTTGGGCCTCTTTAGGTGTTGCTGAAAATGCAGCAGTGAGGCTTTATATCTACCCGTCTGAATCTTAAGAACCATAGTAAAACCATAGAGTTAATATAATGCACGCTAAAGGTTCAACTGGCGCTAGTGTCTATGCGACTTCCGGGAGGCAAATTGAAGCAGACAGCAACCAGTCTACTTTTGCGGTGCTCCTGTGCATTCCTATGGGAAAACGCACGTGCCTTTTGTCTCTTCGCCGGAAAATAACATGAATAACTTTTATTACTTCGGTTGTACCGGATAGTATGTACCTTTATTAATATTGTAAAAGTGTAATTGCTTTAATTACAGCATTTTTCTTTACTATTGAACGATGTTACGCTTCGCTATATTTCAAGCCCAAACCTCTGTTCTATGGCAGGTATGTAATAACGAGCGACGCTTCTGAGCTAAATAACGATCGAAAGAAATGTAGAGTGTGTTCAAGGTTCGCTAGCATTCCGGTGGCGCTTATATATTGCTAATATGCCCGTCCTGTCACTCTATGAATATGACTCCGTCGTGCATCTTTACGATAGGTTACCATTCGAATGTAAAAAAAATAAAGTACGTGGGCTACAAAAGGTGTGTCTTTTTATTATTTCCTATGGAAGGCAGTTTTTATCGGGCACCTGTTCTCTGACTTCTCCCTACTTGTAAAGATTTGAAGCGAGCGGTTGATGATTTGAACCCAGAACGATGCATCTTCGCACATTATCACGAGCAGAAAGAATAAAGCAGTACTTATTTATTGCAAATCAGACTATATTACGTGGCTTTCAATATATTTTTATCGCTTGTATGCACGAGGAGTTACTTATCCAGTGTTACTGCGTAGTTTTTGCCGTCTCTGTTGGTTTTCCACATGTCCTTCGTTCGTTGCGGAAAGCGCCGACGCCTGCCGACGCCGTGTTCGCGCTAACAGTGTCCGACAGTGCACACAAATACATGTACGAAACGGTTTTAGCACCTTTTTTCATGCCACGAATTTCAAATAAAAACGCCGTAACCGGCCAATTATTTCGTCTGCGTGACCTAAAAATGTTTCAATGTGCCTAGTACGTACGAAATATTCGTGATATTTGCTCTTGTAATCGAGCGCAGCGAGAAAATGCACCCGCGTTTTCCCATAGAAAAGCATTACCGGAAGTCAAATTCAGACTGGTTGCTGTCTGCTTCAATTTGCAGCAGCACACTAGCGCCAGTTGAACCTCTAGCGTACATTATAATAACTCTATGAGTAAAACGAATGCCCCTCTTTGCGTAGATAATTAGGGGGACACACAAGTGGGTTCCGAGATCAATCTGCGGGCTCTAGGCATCCTAAAACACCCGTAATTACATTTATGCACTGCAGGTTTCCATATTAAAATTCAATCAAAGACCATGACAGGCCCCACTTACTGCACCATGGGGCAGACGCTAGAGGGCACCGTCAGACAGCGGTCTCAAAACATTAATAGCTGTATTACGTCTCCTACACCCGAAGATTTGACGATCTTTTGTCAAATATAAGGCACAACGCGCCTAAAATGAGTCAAATTTTATGGGGGGTAGTATAAACCCGAAATTGCCTCCCTCCTTACACCCCTGGAGAAAGCAGTACCCGTGAATTTCTAGGCGCCGAGAAGCTGAGAAAGCGGGGACGTCACAACGCCAAGCTCTGATTCGATAGATTAGTGGGTAGACCTAAAGCTAGCTGCCTTTGTTTATACGCTACTTGTCGAACGCGTTAGAATGCGAAAGCCAAACGCCTTACGGCGCGTTCGACGAGTGCAGTGGATATAAAGGCAGCTAGCTTTAGGTTTACCCTCTAATCATTCCAATCAGAGCTCGGCGTTGGCGCGCACTCCTCTCCGCCTCTCCCTCAGTTTCCCTGTGCATTGCTGGGAATTTACTAGGACGTCCTGTCATCTAGAACTAATCACTTTTATTGACGAAGGCCCAAAAACAACCTTTTACAAAAAAGCACTTGAGTGCCACTTGAAGATATATGTTGCGGGATTTTAGATGAAGTATGTGTTATTATATGAAGACGTACACGTTTCGAACCCCAAAAAGACATGGTCAAACAGCGCACATAATAACGCGGAGGAAGAGAAAGGACAGGTAGAATGAAAGAACCCTAAAAGCAACGCGTCTTCCTTCGAAAGCCACATTTCGTAAGAACTACTTCGTGCGACGTATGAACAACGCGCAAAGCTTGTTTATTGTTGAGGCCTTTCTCAGACGAGCCTCTCCTCTTCTTCATCCCTGCTTTGTGTGCCTTCTCGACGGCGCTTGCGCATGGCGAAACCACGAAACCCCCTTCATGTTGCCAGCAGCTGAGCGGTGTGCGTAAAGACGTGCCAAAGAGTTGCGGGTCCCGCCGACGGCAACCGCAGAAAGCTTACGTCGCGATTTACTGAAGCAACTGGGAGACGTACGATGTCCACCAATATGAAAAAAAGACCCACTTGGAGTGCGTGGCCGAGGCGGCGGCTGCTAGGGGAGCCGCCCACCCTTTGGGCAATTCTGTACCGCTCCGAGGAAAGGTAAGGCACTTTGTCAGTGCACGTCGATTCAGTATTTCTGCGTTATCGTGCTTCGGCCCCTCGGAGCGATCTACCCGTTTCGGAAAACCTTTGTCAAAATCGCCTTCTCTGCGCTGCCATCCTTGTTTGCTGGGCTGTGGAACGCCTTCTGGGCGTGTGCTGTTGCTCTGCAGTGCGTTATATCATACGCTGCGCATGCTTCTACACTTCAGTGACTCAGCCTTTTTTGCCCGGGTGATAAGCGATGGAAAGGTCTATTGGAAGTGGCCGGATCCCTAGACAACGGCG